TTGTCAGCTGAACTCTATGCAATACCCATAATTGTCAGCTGTAGCACTCTATGCAATACCCATAATTGTCAGCTGCAGCACTCTATGCAATACCCATAATTGTCAGCTGCAGCATTCTATGCAATACCCATAATTGTCAGCTGTAGCATTCTATGCACTACCCATAATTGTCAGCTGTAGTACTCTATGCAATACCCCTATATGTTGTCAGCTGCAGCATTCTATGCAATACCCATAATTGTCAGCTGCAGCACTCTATGCAATACCCATAATTGTCAGCTGTAACACTCTGTGCAATACCCATAATTGTCAGCTGTAGCACTCTATGCAATACCCATAATTGTCAGCTGCAGCACTCTATGCAATACCCATAATTGTCAGCTGCAGCATTCTATGCAATACCCATAATTGTCAGCTGTAGCATTCTATGCACTACCCATAATTGTCAGCTGTAGCACTCTATGCAATACCCATAATTGTCAGCTGCAGCACTCTATGCAATACCCATAATTGTCAGCTGTAGCACTCTATGCAATACCCATAATTGTCAGCTGTAGCACTCTATGCAATACCCATAATTGTCAGCTGCAGCACTCTATGCAATACCCATAATTGTCAACTGCAGCACTCTATGCAATACCAATAATTGTCAGCTGCAGCACTCTATGCAATACCCTTAATTGTCAGCTGTATCACTCTATGCAATACCCATAATTGTCAGCTGTAACACTCTATGCAATACCCATAATTGTCAGCTGTAGCACTCTATGCAATACCCATAATTGTCAGCTGCAGCACTCTATGCAATACCCATAATTGTCAACTGCAGCATTCTATGCAATACCCATAATTGTCAGCTGTAGCATTCTATGCACTACCCATAATTGTCAGCTGTAGTACTCTATGCAATACCCCTATATGTTGTCAGCTGCAGCATTCTATGCAATACCCATAATTGTCAGCTGCAGCACTCTATGCAATACCCATAATTGTCAGCTATAGCCATAATTGTCTGCTGCAGAATTCTATGTAATACCAATAATTGTCAGCTGCAGCACTCTATGCAATAACCATAATTGTCAGCTGCAGCATTCTATGCAATACCCTTAATTGTCAGCTGTGGCACTCTATACAATACCCATAATTGTCAGCTGTAACACTCTATGCAATAGCCATAATTGTCTGCTGCAGAATTCTATGTAATACCAATAA